GGCTGTGAGTCCTCCTGGGCCACAGAATTTCTCTCTAGAAACGGTGTAGAGTCTTTACGATGCCTCAAAGAGGGACCTAGGAGATTTGTCTCAAGTCGTAGTTGCATAAAATATATATTGGCAGGGCAGGGGATTTTAATGCATTGGGAGTAGGGGCTAGTAAAGCCTTTTTCAAGCTACCACTTTCTAAAGGGGACTTCATGAACCCCAAAGCAGGGAAGAATCTTGGAATGCCAATCTCAAGGTCTTTTACTTCATTGATTGTCAGTTTCCCTTTCACGAAATAGTTTCCATAAATGTGAGGATTAAATGAGACAGTGGATATAAAACACCACGTACTTAGTGGTGTGTTTTCGGAAAACAGCAGCTTCTTTCTTTCCTTCTCTGGGCCTCAGTGTCTCCAGCTATACCATCTAAACCTGCTGGCGCTCTCTGTTCCTCTCAACCGATTTTTTCCCAGGCCGCCAGGTGGGGACCGAAGGCCGGCACCGCGGGGAGACGTCACGCATGCGCACTGCAGGCGGCGCGCCGCCTTCGCACGCCCTGGGTGCGTCACTTCCGGCGCGAGGGGCCCGGCCGGCCCGGCAAGGAGTGCGGGTCGGTTTTGTGCGCGTTGCCGGACGAGGCTCCTGCCGCCCAGTGACCCGCGCTCCGCCCCGTAGCCGGCCGGTGAGTTCCCGCGAGCCTGTCCGTGTGCCCTGCGGCCCGGGGAGAGGGACCCCGACAGGGAGGGACAACCGGAAGTGGGGGACCTGAGGAAAGAGACCCCAGGAGATGGGGACATCTGGGGAAGGGGTTGTTCGGTCCAGGAGGGCCCTATCCCCAATCCCTTGTGTGGGAACCGGGCCGCCCCTTATGTGGGAACCGGACCTTGCAACATCTGGGTTGACAGCGGGCTACATGCCCTCATCCTGTTTCGCTGGATTGAGGGACTTTACACCATACCCGCCAATTTACCTGCCCAGAAAACTCTCGCCGAAAAAGCCCACCTTAAGCCCCCTATGCTTCGAGTCTCTTTACATTGGGGGCTGACGCCATTTTCGGCTCAGCCCGGCTGTTACTATGCCACAATAAACTTTACTTAACCCCTTTGGCCTTGTGCGTTCCTCTTTTGGGGAACCTCACCTTCGGTGCTGAAACCCGGGAGGGTTTGGTGCAGGCTTAGTGGCCATTCCTCTGGGCCCCGAGGTTATTGGTTTGCACCCCACAGAGCAGTGGGTTGTGGCAGCTCGCCCGGGCTAACCGCCGGATCCTAACTCTTTCTTGGGCTTTGAGGGGTTTAGCCTTAACTTTCCAAGCCCTCCTCGAACCCAGCCAGGGAGGATGCCAGATCGGGAGCTTCACCTTTTCATTGTTGACCTGCCAGTCCACATTTGGTCACTTAATTTTCGAGTGAGTGGTTATCCATCTCTTCTCGGGTCTTCTATCTGTTCTTTGGCAAATCCTAGCACGAGGTCAGAACACTCCTCGGCCTCCTGGTCTCGAGTTCTTCTGAACTGGGAACGCGTGACTCAGAAAGAACCCGTTTCCTCTACCAGACGGACTCTGTCAGCGGGGACGCCCACCCAAAGAGCCGTTTCTTCCATTGTCTTCCACTCGCCCTCCTCTTTTCCTTATCGTTGGCATCCTCTTCATCGTAGGGAACAGACCTTCCACATCCTCCAGTACCACCCCTCTTGGCTGCCTTTTAAGGAAACCCAGACAACCTCAGCCTCGAGGGTGATATCAGACCCAAGCATCTCATCTTCTGTTGTAACACTGCTTGGCCACAATATGAATTGGATAATGGGTTTCACTGTCCTGAGAAGAGCACCTTTGATTATAACACGCCACGAGACCTTGACAACTTCTGTCACCGTAATGGAAAGTAGTCCGAAGTTCTCTACGTCCAGGCCACCTTCACTTTCCGCTCCAGACCCTCTCTGTAAATCCTGCTCTACTTATCACATTTTACTTCTTTACTCGAAACACTATTTCTCTTCGGTCTGAAACCGAAATGTCCTCTTTCGATCCCACTGATCATGGGCCACCCTACCCGCATATGTTCCTCTTTCAGAAGACCCACCCCCATTCATTCTTCCCTTAATCCCTTGGCTCCTGATGAGGCCAGCTCAGATCCCTCAGAACCCTACCCCCCACAATGCGTTCTCGAACTCATCCCCAGGAACCTGCCACTGTATTTCCTTTAAGGGAGGTTGCAGGAGCCGAGGGTACAGTCCACGTTCATGTCCCCTTCTCCATGGCCGACCTCTCTCAGACTAAGAAAAAGTTAGGGTCTTTCTCCACCGACCCCACCACTTACATTAAGGAGTTTGAATATCTAACTCAATCCTGTGATCTTACCTGGCATGACTTCTGCATTATCCTTTCTTCTACTCTTTCTTCTGAAGAAAAGAAGAGTTTGACTGGCCGCTCAGGGTCAGGCCGATAACCTCCACCAGCAAGATAAGCCACAGCTGGTGGCGAGCTGTCCCCAGACAGGATCCCAACTGGAACTATCAGATAGATTCCCCAGGCAGCTGACACGGAAATCATATGGTAACTTGCCTCATAGCAGGGCTTCAGAAATCACACAAGGCAGTTAATTATGAAAAACTCAAAGAGATCAGCCATCAGACGAGAATCCTGCCATCTTTCTTTCTTGCCTAACAGAGGCTCTCTAAAAATACTCAAAACTAGACCCATCTTCAGCAGAAGGTCTCCTCTTCCTAAATACTTATTTCATTTCTCAGTCAGCTCCTGACATCAGATGCAAATTACAAAGGCTGGAGGATGGCCCTCAAACCCCACAAAGGGACTTCAAAATGTTGCTTTTAAAGTTTTCAATAATAGAGGTGAGGTAACAAATGAAAACTTAGAAGAGATCAGGCTAAATGCCAGATGCTGGTGGCAGCTATCCAGGGTTCCCACAGAAATAAGCAAACTCCTAAGGGCAGAACCCTCAAGGCCCCTCCAGGCCCCTGCCTTAAGTATGACACTGGGCCAAAGGTTGCCCTAATCCTCGTCCTCCTCCAGGCCCTTGTCCACGCTGCGGCAAGAAAGGTCACTGGAAAGTTGACTGTGACCTGCGCCCTCACGGGAAGGTCACATCTCTTCCCTCCAAAAAACCGAAGCAACTGGACCTCAGCCTGCCCAGCCTTCTAGGCCTCGCCACTGAAGACTGAGGGTGCCCGGGCCCCACAGCCCCCACGCCTATCACTCCTTCGGAGCCCAGGGTAACTGCTAGTGGCAGGTAAGCCAATCTTCTTTCTTATTGATATGGGGGCCACTTACTCCGCCTTACCTGAATTTGAGGGTCCTACCTGCCCCTCTCAAGTCTCCATTGTGGGAGTTGATGGTCTAATCTTCAAGCCTCTAATCACACCCTCCCTAAATTGTCTCTTACTAGGAACACCTTTCAGTTACTCCTAGTCCTTCCCAGGTACCCAACCCTAGTCCTTGGCAGAGACATTTAATAAAAATTCAGAGCTTCACTTATGCTTCTCTCTCACTTCTAATTCAGACCCATCCCTCCTCCTCCTCGCTAAGCCCATTCCAGATAAATTCCCCCTCCCAACTTCTCTAGTCACACCCAAGGTCTGGGATCCCTCCACCCCTTCCATAGCGCAACACCACTCTCCTATCCACATAAAACTAAAAGGCCCTTCAGTATGCCCCTGTCAACCCCAATACCCCTTATCCTTAGAAAGCAGACAGGCCTCTAACCCATTACATAGCGCCTTCTATCCCAAAATCTCCTAAGGCCCATTCACTCCCCACACAGCACCCCAGTCTTACCTGTCAGAAAGCCAAATGGCTCATATCGCTTAGTCCAGAACCTCCACATCATAAACCAGCAGCCCTCCTAACCCACCCAGTAGCGCCCAACCCCTGCATCCTCCTATCCCTTATTCCCCCACACACTTCCCAATTCACTGTAATTGGCCTAAAAGATGCATTCTTCACCATTCCTCTCCGCCCAGACTCCCAAAATCTCTTTGCTTTTACCTGGACAGGTCCTGTTACTCATGAATCCCAACAACTTATCTGGACTGTACTTCCCCAAGGTTTCCGAGATAGACCCCATTTCTTCGGACAAGGCTTAGCATCAGATCTGGCAAAACTAGATCTCCATCCCAGCACTCTTCTCCTATATGTAGATGATCTCCTCCTTTGTAGTCCATCCTATTCTCTTATAAACACACAGCTAGTCCCTAAGAAAGCCCAGCTTCCTTCCCCTCAAGTCATTTATCTTGGTCTCTCCATTACCCCACAACATCGTGCCATTACCTTAGCCAGAAAAGACCTCATTGCTTCCCCCTCACCTCCCACCTCAAAACAAGAGCTCCTCTCTTACCTCTGTTTAGCAGGGTTTCTCCGCATTTGGGTCCTTAACTTCAGCATTCTAGCTCACCCTTTATATCGGGCCTCTAAAGGTCCTTTGACTGAACCGTTATATCTCACCATTAATATTAGCCCTTACTTCTGGAAGTTACAGCAGGCCCTTGTATGAGCCCT